AAAGGAGATCTAAAAGTAAAAGTGTGAGGATTGCAAGTTTGAGCCCAGCCTGAGCAACTCAGTACCTTAGGGAGACCCTGTCACAAAAATAAAAAATAGAAAATAGAAAAGGCGGGCGGTGTAACTCAGTGCAACAGGCCTAGGTTAAGTCACCTTAACCTAGGGGTGGAGACAGGGAGAAAAGAAAAGGCATGAATCACTTACACACTGCTGGTGAGAATATAATGGGTATGCTCTAGAAGATAAATGGGCACTTTCTATTAGTGAAATGCAAATCAAAATGACATCAAGATTCCATGTTACCCCAGCCAGAATAGGTATCATCATGGATTAAAAAAAAAACAAAACAAAACAAACTGGCAAGGATATGGGAAAAGGGAACCCTACACTGCTGACAGCAATGTAAATTAGTACAGTCACTATGGAAATCAGCATGGAGGTTCCTTGAAAAATGATAAATAAAGCTACCTTTGACCCAGCTTTACCTATCTTTGGTTCATACCTGAACGAATGAAAGTCAGCACGTGATGGGGACACCTGTACCCAAGTATATCACCTGTGCCCAGGTGTATCACAGCACAGTATACAGTAGCTGAGATGTGAAACAGACCTCAGTGCCCACCGACAGGTGGACGAATAGAGGCACGGTGGCATATGCACATTTGTTTACGCACTGACTGTCCCGAGTGTTGCTGGGGCAGGTGTCATTTCAACCAGTTGGTTCTTGTATCAAATAAATTTGCTAAAATAGTTGCTTTTATATTTCCTGTTATAAAAATTAATGAAAAGTACTCAATTTTTGGTCATTCCAGAATAAAATAGTCAGACTATTAAGTGGTTGACTAGAAAAGAGGAGGAAGGAAGGAAGAGGGAGGAGGTACAAAACTCAAATTTCTCATGTAATATGGTGGAGGATTTGCATATAATTTATTCACATCCTCTTTTACTTGAAATTGTTTCTAGATCATTTATTACATTTACAATGTAAATGCTATGTAAATACTTGTTAGACTTTATTACTCAGGGAAGAATGATAAAAAGAAGTCTGTCCATGTTCAGTACAGACTTAATTTTTTAAAAAATCTTTTTCTTGGATCCATGAATGTAGAACCTACAAATACAGGTTACAGTCTAACAATGCTCCCTCCGTGGTGTGGATGGGGGTGCTTGGCAAAGGGTGTCCTGCCTACCTAAAGAGGGTGGGATGGGAATAAGAAAAGAATCTGTAAACATCTTTTAAGCCAACAGTGTTGTTTTGTTATGTTTTGTACCAGAATCAAACTCTTGCGCTTGTGAGACAGGCGGTGGAACCACTGAGCCAAATCCCTGGCCCTAAACCAACAGTGTTGGGATGTGTTTGGAGTGTGTCACAGAAAGATAGGATTTGAGTCTGGAAACAAGTGATAGGCAAGAATCTTGCACTGCCATTTCGTGCTGTAATTTTAAAGGTAATAAATAGTTGCCTCGGTTTAATGACTTCCTCAGAAATAACTTTCTGCCCTCAGAGTTCAAAATATGCCTAGGAGTCAATCCCTACGTTGAACTTTGAAATACTCCTCTTGCAAAACACTTATGTTATCCGGGATTCTGATGTATCACGTTTTTTACATCATCAGTTGATGTAGCCCAAGTTTATGCAGTTAGACTGAGGTTGGAGGGTAAAGGGATGGGTAAGGGTTTGCGTTTCAGTGGTAGACCAGAGGGTCCGGAAACCCTGAATTGCCCAGGAAGGCAGATATGATGGGTTCTAGGCCTCCCAGGAAGCCACACGAGGGCGCTAGAAGACTGGGGGAGAACCTGGGAAATTCTGTGTAGTCCCACGCAGTCTTTGAGTATTTCGTGCAGCCTGTGAACAAAGTGTTATCATCATTTAGAGAGCTAAAAAAGGCGGAGGAGGCTCAGAAAACTTAATCCTTTTGTCCAAGAGCACACAGGACAGAGCTTCTGAACACCAATCCAGGGCTCCCCAGGGTGCCACAGCACCTTCGGTTGGGTCTTTTGGCTTTGCCGCAATCTTAGAGTTGACGAAACTTAGTCCTATGAACAAATCAGTCCAAATCCTACAAATTTAACCAATAGCCAAATATAAGAATCCAAACCCACCTCTAATAAGCCATTCAGTATCTCTTATCTCTGTCTTGGCACATTTTTGGGGTGAATTATTGCGTCTCTGGTTATCACTTCCCACTTTCCATTCACTCCTCAAATGACATCCATGTACCTTTGCCAAGGGAAAGCAGTACTTTTCAACATAGGACAGTCCCTTCGAACTATGCGGGGAAGGAGTATTTTAAAAAGATTGAGATCCAGGTCAAATCCCTTGAAATTATGGCTTAATTGCTTATAAGACTTCAAAAGGCAAATAGGAATCAGCCTAGGGCTTTAAATAGGAGAGGAACATAATTTGGTTATAGTGACTTGGAGTGGGGTTGCAGCACTGGAGATGGAGGGAGGTAAAAGCAGTTGAAAATGTTCACTCAGCCGAATCCAGCCATCCACTGGATAAAGGGGAAGAGGAGGTGAGAGAGGCAGGTGGCAAAGATGTCTCTGCCATGTGGGACTGGGGGGTGGATGGGCCATTTACTGGGTCGCAGAACCCTGGAGAGGAAGCAGATAGGAAGAAAGAGGCAAGTGGAGGCCATCAGCTCCGGGTTGCCACGTCCTCTGGGTGTGCTCGGGCCAATAACCGAGTAGAGGTTGAAGCACAAGGTTGGCTATTTTGACTTGGAGACTGGGAGCGGGTTGGGGAGTTCAGAATACCCATTGTAGAAAAGGCCATGGGTAGATTAAACTGTCAGTGGAGGCTCCCTGGTGATCTCAGAAGCTTGTTTCTTAGCTGAGGCAGTGAGGCTGCTCACACTCAAGAGGAACAGGAATCTCACAGTTGCAGTGCAATCTTTTTTTATTTTTGATACCGGGGACACAGTACAATCTTGAGAGTCCAGAGTTGCACCACAGCTAGCTTGGCTGCTGCCTGAAAGTCGCTGGCTCTCTGTCTCAAAGACAGCATGTCTGGTGAGCCTTCTACCAGAGAGCGCCACAATCCGGCCACAGAGTTGTCTCTCCAAGACGCGCACCAGGGAGGCCTGTCTCAGAGGGAAGCGTGAAAACACCATCCCTGCTCTCCTCATCCCGCAAGGCCCCAGACAGTTCAAGTTCAAAGAAGCTCAAGGATGACGAGGGTCATCTGGTGTGGTGGTGAAGTCTATCCCGCAAGGCCCCAGACAGTTCAAGTTCAAAGAAGCTCAAGGATGACGAGGGTCATCTGGTGAAGTTGGAATTACAGAAACTACATGGTCCCTAAAAATGATGCTGCTTGTTTTGTGAAAACATGTTCGCAGAAGACAGCGCCTTGCTGCTGGGTGTGGAGACCGGTGTCCCTGCACAGCGGGTCTGAGGCAGCCCTTTTTTCTTAGACATAGGATTTCACCGAGTCGTTACATTTCCCGGCCTGGGCTGGAACTTGTGATCTTCCTTACCTATTCAGAGTGGGGGACTGCAGGTATGTGCTGTAGCTTGGAGCTGTTTCTTTACAGAAGAAAGGAAGTAGGTTTACTTGATGCTTTGTTAAGTTTTTGTATAATTTTAGCAGGTAGTGGACATAGGGGAGTTTACATAAATGATTTGTCTAACTGCAGCCCCTGAGGTATTTTATTAATCAAACAAATGAATTCTGGAGGCTCATCACATGTACCCAAGAACATCATTTCACCAGTGGAGAAACAGGTAGAAGACATACGTGACGTTTGCTGTACTTTGCTAAGTGTTAGGTGCTTTTAGTTTGTTTGTTTAATCTAGTTTATTCTTCTCATTATGAAAGATAAACATTTTCTTTTTGGTATTTTGAGATGGTCATCTGAACTCTCTATGCAGCCCAAATTCTCCCTAAATAGCATTCCTCCTGCCTCAGCCTCCCTCCCGAGTATTACAAGGTGTGCACCACCCCTCCTCACTAAAATAAACTTATTCCCATTTTACTGATGAGAAAACTTATGATCAAAGTATTGACTAATTTTTCTAATGGTGTAAGAAAGCACAAAGGATCAGATGATCAAATCACTCGCATGTAGGAGAGATGTAAACCAGAAGCAAGCTTTACTAATAATTTCAAGACCACTCACTTGGGAGGCATGGAGGAGGCAGGACAGGGTCCCAGACCACCCACATGGCTCCTTGCATCATTTCCTGCAGGGGTAGGATCAGCTCTGGCTCTGACCTACATAGTCTTTATGTGATGTGTGTGGTCCCATTGCTTACAGAGAAGACAGCTGCTGCCTTCATGAGACAATTCCATTTCACAGCAGTAAGTACAAAGATTCCATGACATCTTCAGGGAGTCAAATTCCATAAAGGCATGAATTCCAGGCTTGAACGTCATAGTCCACCCTACTAAAAGCATTCCGGAGATAAGGACTTTCCCACTAACAGTTGCCTGAGGTCTGTCACTGCCTGCTGACAGGGACATTTGACCAGGTTACTGTCTTTCTCTCCTCCATGGATACTTCCTCAGGAAAGTGAGAGAATGTATTACAGGTCTGCTGCTAACCCCTTTCTTCCTTTCTGTTTTTGTTTTGTTTTGTTGGAACTAGGGATCTCATTGAGCTACATCCCTGGCCCCCATTTTATTTATTTATTTATTTTTGTACCGGGGATTGAACTCAGGTACTTGTGCTTGTGAGGCAGGCAGTGCCACCACTGAGCTAAATCCCCTGCCCTCCCCATTTAAATTTTGAGACAGGGCTCAAAGTAATAGTCCTCCAGCATCAGTCTCCCAGAGTGCCACCTTCTTTTCAGAATGGCACAGTGAGTAAACATCAAAGGTAGGACAGCTGTCTCTCTTGCAGGTTCATTTTATCCAACTCACCATAGTTTCTCCAAACTTTAGGAGGTCATAGTGATGAGATTTTGCAAGTATTAATGTCTCTCAGCATATTTCAGTTTTTATTCTTAGTGAATGTTGTTATCAACATCTCTCAAACTACAGTGAACCATCCTGTCAGGGCAATTTCTGCTGCTATTCCAGCCTAACAGTCTGGTTTATAGAAGAAGGTGAAAAAGGAGAAAGAAAAGATATGGAAAAGAAGGGAAAGATGATCCAACTAATGACATCGTTTGACCCAGATATGGAAGTGGTTGATTTTTCCTGAACAGCTGGCTGGACTGTAAGTATTATATTCACACATCAGTTTCAAATGATACCGTGGTATGTTTATAAATACTGTGCAATACTATGGTGTTTCCAAGCAAAATTTACACGTTGAAAATTTACTGAGATGTTCCGGTCATGAGGCTTTGCCCTAACAAATGGATCCATGATGCTACACAGGGCTTGCAGAGTGGACTTTTTCTCTTCTGCTGTTGGAGGCACTTTTGTCCACTTGTCCTGCCTGTACCATGGGAGGACACAGCGAGAAGGCCCTCAGCCGATACTGGTGGCTTACTCTTAGTCTTCCAGCCTGCATTTCTCTTCTCTATAAATCACCCAGTCTAGGTTCTTCTGTTATGGCAGCACAAAATGGACTCAGATACATAATAACCCGTGGGATTCAATTTTCAGGAAGCAATAGAAATTCAGCATACTTTATAGAGACAGGGTCTTGCCAAGTTGTTCAGGCTGAGCTCAAACTCACAATTCTATAGGAAGCAGTGAGCTAGAGCTGTTAGAAGCAGCTTGTGAGAAAGGTTTGTGTGTCATTACCACTCACAGCTCAGAAGCAATCAAATGCTACAAATACTACAAAGACTATTATCTTCCCAGAAAGCTAGTTGTTGAATGTTTACCAATGGATTAGTATTTGTAGAGAGCTATACAAGGCTTTCCTTTTCCTATAGTCTGGTGCCAGAATTAGAAAGTCAAATGAAGAATCAACGTAATATCTTGGCTATTAGATTTTAAAGTATTGGAGTTTTTGAGCGGAGCCATAAAAAGTTCTCCTTTATTTGCTCCTGAGTTTAGAACCAATTGAAAGATAGATAGAAAATCACTATCTCAATCACTGACAAGCCTGGTTAGATGTTATGGCTCCTTCCTAACCCCTCGCTCCTGAATGGAGCTTGCCATGGGATCGTTAGCGAGGCTGGACCGTCGCCAGCCCTGTCTCCCCCATCCTCACCTCTCCCTGCAGGTTGGGGTAGAGGAATCTTCTCAGCCCATTCAGAGTGGCAGAAGGATGGAGGAGAGGAGGAAAGCTCTCCTTCCCAGCACCCAAAATAAGCAAAAGCTCCTGTTTTGTGGATCAAAGTGGAAACTTCAGTTGTGGAAGGGAAGGGTTTGTCCTACAAAGTATTGTATTTTTACTCCCTCTCTTATTACTTCCGGAAGCCAGAGTTTGACCACACAGTGCGAGAACTTTTGCTCTGTAACACTGCTGGATCAATCAGCTGGGGTGTAGTGGTAGAAAAGCTTTCAAGTTTCACCTTAGGAAATGGTGGTCGTGGTGGTATATTTTACCTAAAGAGTCACCTCTGATATACACTAGATAGTTTTAATTTCTTTTTAAAAATTTGTTAACAAAAACTCTGACTTGCATCTACCACTGTTAAAATATCATACCCATTAAGCATTTTCATCAATAACCACTTAATTCCTTGAAAAAGAGGTAATCAGCAAGCATTTGATTTGAATGACTTATTGTTTAGCTGCTTCAGAGAATTTACACCAATTAGTTCTGTAGGAGTGTTAATGCAGCAGCCCCTCAGAGACAAACAGCATCTTTCTTTGTCAAGCTATGGCATAGTACATTTTTGTCTACATCTCCATTTTCACTTGAAAATGTAAAAAGAATGCACAATCCAATTTTTAAAAATTTTAAATATGCTCCATTAGCTCTTGTGCTAAGCATTGTGTGTAGGATAACTTCAGGCTTTTGTGTATCGTCTGTTTTTTCTGGGTGCTCTAATCGGGTCCCATGTCCAATGTAAGATTTTAAAATTTGATTTGTCTTAAAAACCTGCGCATCACAGATTGGCTGTGGTCTAAGCAAGCTGTGCAAGGCACTTCAGGGGGCATCTGTGTTACACTGAAGTCTGGTCTAGGTTGGTGGCGACTTGACCAGTGACATCTGCAGACTGTTTTCTCATCCACAGGAAGTGAGGTGGTCCGCAATGCTGCAGGGCCTGGGATGGCACCAAGTAGCACCATTGTGGCCGCTCAGCAGGAGGCTGGGACAGGGCAGTCACAGCCGTGCTCCCATCTCCATGCCCGGGTGAAGAAACACTAGTATCCCATTGTGAGGAGGCTTTGTCTTGCTCACAAGGCCCCCATGAACAGTACCAGGGCACCTCGACTCTGGTGTGACCCGCGTGTCCCTTACCGATGCCAACCCACACAGCACTTGCGAGCACCTGTGCATTTGCCTTTTGTGTGTTCGATGGGCTTTACTTTGGGGAATATCTCATTCCTCAAATCCAATTGAGAAAGTGTCATTGATTAAAATTTTGTCAGAGTATGATTACTGTTGTTACTTTGCTGCAATAGTCTTCTAACAAAGTTCTGAACAGGGTGTACACGGGGAACGAGAGACTCTGGTTTGTATGTAATGACATTTGCATTGCATTTGTGTGGCATCCACTCACAGTCAGAAAACCACGAATGCCTTTTTACACCTGGATGCTCCTTCCCCTCCTGATCTCAAACATCCCTTCTTTTAAATTTAATATTCTTTTGGCTCTCTGTCTTCATTTGTAGGAAGAGCTCTGATTATCTGTAGAAAGCACTGACATTTCACAGATGATATGAAGATGAATGGCCAGTTTGTTTTAGTTCATTTTCTGTTGCTAATAACAAAATACTACAGACTGGATGCATCATTAATGAAAGGGGGTTGCTTCAGCTCATGGTTCTGGTCGAGGTTGAAGGATTGTACTAAGTAGTAGCAGGGAGCTCTCTGAAATCATCTACAGTCCCTCAGCTTTCCTTTTCCAGCCCATCTAACAACTCATTTTCAAACACTGGTTTTCAAATAGAAGTATAATGAGAAGAGCATTTTCTTCCAAAATTTAGTTTTGCTCATATCCTGATGCACTTTATACACATTCAGTGGCTCAGTGGGTATTCGCCATCTAGTTATCTAGTTACCACTATCTAGTTAGCATGGAGCAAGAGGTTGCTCCAGGGTGTTTTCCTCTTTATTGTGCTACTATTAATTTCTTTGTAATGTACTCAGCGCCATCACTTGCATTCATTTCTTACTCAAAACTGTTACTCTGCTGGGGGCAGTGGTGCATACCTGTGACCCCAAGTACCCGGGAGGTGGAGGCAGAGGTGTTGCAAGGTTGAGTCCAGGCTGGACAACTTAGGCTCTGTTTCAAAACATACATACATAATAAATAAATAAATGGGGATATAGCCCAGCATCCCCTTGGTTCACTCCCTGGGACTGCCAACACAAAACCAAAAAAAGATTTTTTTTAAAACTGTTTTGTTGGTTCCCTGTTCATTCAGCAAACACTTGTATGTACTGCTCTGAGGACTGGGGACTGGGCAGGGCAGGCACGGTCCTTGTTCTCACAGATTATCATCCAGCCTTGTCTTGGCTACCTTGCTTCTGCCTTTCCCTCTGCCCCTATCTTTTTCCCATCCTGAAATCCTCTGGGAGAGTGAAAACAACAACAACAACTACAACAAAATATTTTCCGCTGTGACATTTTTGTCTTATATTCCAAGACTCTGCCTTGGTGCTTGGCTTCTGCGTTTGGTGATATCTTTGTTTTAGTTTTTGGTGGCACTGAGATACATCCCCAGCTTTTAAAAAACTTTAAAAAAAATGTTTTTTTGAGGCAGGCTCTCACTGAGTTGCCCACATCAGACTCAAACTTGCAACCCTACTTACTGCCTCAGCTCTCAGAGAACTGGGATTCCAGGTGTGCACCACCATACCAAGCCTGATATCTGTAATAGTGCTTCTCTGCCTCTCCCAAGAAGTTCCTATCTCCATATCTTCATGCAAGGCCGTTTCCATAGCCAGGAATCTCCTGCTCTCCTCCACCAGAGACAAACCCACTAACTCTCCAAGGCCTCACAAAGCTTCTCCCTCCTTTGGAAATTGTTCTTTCTTCGGCCATATCAGACATCTCTCACACGCGCAACAGCCAGTCTAGAATAGGTAGGGATACGCATGCATGTAATTCAGGTTAGAATGCTGAAGGGTTGTAATGAAGTCTTAAAAGAGATATTTTAAAGGTAATTAATATACATTTGAAAAGACAGAGGTGTGAAATTCTACCCCATTCTCCACGGAAGACATCACAGTTACCAGTCTGTTATCATCTCTTCTAGATGTATACTCTGGACATGGATGAATAGGAATCCCAAGACTTTTGTGGGAAAACTGGACAGAAAAAAATTAAAAACGCAGAAGCAAGAAACTGCACAAGAAAAATTGTGAGAGGTGATACATCTTCCCATTTGTGATAATCATCACAGTGACACTGACTGCTTACTTTGGAACAGGCATTGTTCTGAATACTTCTGGAGAATCAGTCATTTAATCCTCCTGTCGACCTCATGATTTAAGTAGTATTATTATCTCCTTTTTACAGAGGAGACATTGAAGTAACGTGACCAAGATCATAAAGTTGGCATCTGATCTAAATTCCAGTCTTGGATTTCAAGAACCCACATATTTAACCACGGTGCTCTCTGGTTTAAGATTCTTAAGACAATTATAAAAACTATAGCCACAAAAATTATGCTATTGATACAGGAATAGATAAGTAAACCACAGGAACAGAAGAGAACTCAGAAATAGGTTCATGGTAAAAGTGACATTCCAATTTAGTGGGAAAGGGTGGGATATTTAAGAAACAATGCTAGAATAATGTGATGTGACTTTGGAATAAGTCTGTTGGATTCTTTCCTGAGACCATACTTAGAAATGTAGATTGAAAGTCTCAATCTAAAAATAATGCCACTCTGCCATAAAGAAGAATAAACTTGAGACATTTCTAGGTAAATGGATGCACCATGAGACCTTGCTCTTAAGTGAAATTAATTGGACACATATGTTCAGATATCACATGTTTTCTCTGGTATGAGAAACTGAAAGTGTGAATAAGGACCCAAATGTATAGCAGATGTTGTGAAATAGGAAGGAAATGTTCAAGTGAGAAGGGAACTAGGGAGAAGGCAGAAGGAAAGGAAGGAAGGGACAAGAAAAAAAAA